TTTCCATATGGTCGTAACTGTTGCGAACGTGTTGTACTGTTGTCAGAGCAGTGTTCGCAACCAAATGGAAACATAAAGAAAAGTCTTGTCGCGAGACGCTAGCAACAATTCACGACAGTTAAAACAGTGTCGTCGAGACAGACTCGTTCCTCGAAGTCGTTCTTCTCATATGGTTATGCTTCGTTCACATGCAGATATTGTATTTTTCAACGGTGATCAACCCACCGTTTTCAGTAGAAAAACCTGCTCCTCATGTTTCCTGTCATTTAATGAACAGATTATTAATAATTGGAGAAAAGGGGGCCAGGCTGGTGGAACGTCTGCGTTCAGCTGGTGGATATTTTTGTGCATGGAAAAGGAGGAGCAAAAAATATTTTTGTGCTGCAAGTGGTACTTACCCCAATTTGCAATTTGAATCACGGAAATATATTATATTAAGCATCTGCAAGACAGTTAGACAATATAGTTTAATTAAATGAAAGGCGGATTTTTTCATACAGGGCCACGGCAGTGGCGTAACGGCAGCATGAGCTCCACCTTTGAATTTACTATATATGAGTAAATTGTTAAACACGTCCGAAATTATCAATACGATAAATTCGTGACACATGTTGAGCCCTAACTCTAACCTTAACATAATCTTAATCTAACCCAAATCTAATCTTTATCTGACACTAATCTAAACTTGATGACGTTGTTTCATTTTTTTAATCTAACATAAGTAATAATAGTAACGACTAATGTAACAACTAATAAGAATAACTTTTGTTTTATTTGAGATGGAATAAAAAAAAAACAGCTGCCGTTGCCGATGGAGGCTTTATTATTTAGCATTATTAATTTTGCATTTTCTCATTGATTCTTAATAACCTGCATTTTGTACGCTTTCTAATTTTCTGGGAGATAGGCCATGGCTGATGGGGGCCCCTAACTGTCGGTGGCCCTTAGTTTTTGAACTACCCAATGAGCGTTACGCCACTGGGCCACGGAGATATAGTATCATAGTAAGCCCGCTTCTTCGGTGTTCTCTAGTCCCCTAATCCCCCCAAAACCTTTCCTGTCCCTGTCGTATATAAATGCATGAAATAGTATGTATTTCCGGGGGGGGGGGAGGGGGCGGGGGAGAATGTCAAATAAAGTTTATCAATTGTCCACAAATTTCGAACATCTCATTTTCACCATCCCCCATCTCTGTAATTAATGACTGGTCCACAGACCACTATATATACGAATTGAATGTATTCGGTGGCAAATAAACCAATTAGATAAAGCTACGGAGTTTAGTTTCAAGTGTGTTTAGTTTTAAGGGTGTTATTAACTAAGTATTATTATCTTGCAGAGAACTTACGAGCGATTACGATCTACTTCGTCAATTTGGGTATTTATAGTGAACACATACGTGACTCGTGGCAGTTGAATGTTGAATCCGCATTGGCTAATATTGACAATAGTACGTTGTTTTATATTATATATTATATATTATAGAGTATTGTGTAGTCTGCATGTGGTAAGTTTGTTCAAGTAAGAATATCAAGTAAGTATGATTGTTAAGTTTCCAGTCGTTCTTTTCCTATTTTAATTAAACTGGACTCTAGTCTAGAAGTGACTTTTTTGCTTTTAACATTTACCAGGAGACTGATAAATTATTGGTACGACCAGTTATGTATAATTATGTATATGCCATACAGGATTCCATTGCAGGATTCCACCTGTTTAGATGCGATGGTCTTACCGATTCAAAAAATGGTTGTCCCCCTCTGAATTATTTTTTGCTTACAAGGTAATTACTGCTGACTTCAACACTATAGGGTATGACTAATTAACGGAACTGCAGACAACGGAACTGCAGAACCTGCGGAACTTAATAATGTCGCCTTTTTCTTCTTGTATAAACATTGGTCCTTCAATAATTTAGCGTTTTTGGTGTCTATTTTGTAAACACGTCATATTCATAAACACATCACTTAATTGGAAAGCTTCGTGTAGGAAAAATTCAGACTTTTGAAGAACATTTTAAGTAGAGGCATGACACCACGGTGCGACCAGATTATATTCTATTTGTCTCATAACTCGAGTAATAAAAAATACAATATATTATAATTTGGTATTCCAGGATGGTGCATTTTTAATTTTTTGTAGCAGACAGTACTCTATATGTACGTACTTCAATATTTCTAATAATAGATTGAAGTAGACTAATATAGAATATTCTATTTCTCCAGTATATCTGCTTTGTCAACTTCACTTCTAGGTGTTCTTGTAGTAGCTTAATAATTTTCATATTTATGTAAGGCTTACTTCTCATGCGAAGAAAAGTGCTATATATGCTTTCTTACATGTTACTTAACAAACATTGCAAAGTATTGCAAATTCCATAAGAGAAAAGATGGCGTAGTTAGTAGTATATTTTTATTTGAAAATATATACTGGTGAAATCTAAAAATTTAACTTAAAATTTAACTTTAACAACCAATGGCATGCATATATTATTTTAAGAAAAGAAGTATTAATACTAGCTGTATAATATGTTGTTTTTATAGAAAAAGTTTAAATAGAAATATGCATTTTTCGAGAAAACAGGGGCGCCCTACTTAGTGTAATATACCAATATATTGTATTTTTTATTACTCGGGTCGTGAGACAGATAGGATATAATCTGGTCACACTCTAGTAGTATACCTCTACTTGCACTTTAAAATGTTCTCACAAAGTCTGAAATTTTTTCTACAAGAAGCTTTCCTGAATTAAGTGAGAACGCTGGAGAATACTGAGAAGTGACGTGCTTACGATTTTTGTTGTCCAAACTAATATACTGCCGAATTAGAACAAAATCATGTAAATAGACACCAAAAACGCTTAAATTATTAAACGACCAATGTTTATAGAAGAAGAAAAATGGCGACATTTTAAGTTTCCGCAGATTCCGCAGTTCCGTGGTCTGCAGTTCCGTTGATTAGTCCTATACCCCTACACATACAAAATAGAGACATCTAATATTGTCTTTGAGAAATTTAATAAATGTACCGATGTTTTTTGCTAGATCGGCAGTAAAAGCGGATTAACCTCGTATTAAGTATTCCTTATCTTTTTTTGCTTTTCGAATCAGACTTTTTTAATCAGTAAGCCGCTGTTGACAAGTATTTGCAGTCATTTTTTGAATCGGTCTATTTAATATATTTTATTGACATTAAACTAAAATTAGTAACTAACAAAAGACACAAAAGTCACTTTCGAAATTTATACAGATGTGTTATGTTATTAATTATTATATACAGTAATCGATCGAACGTTTATTTGTTACTCTTAATTGATATATAGTGTTTTTACATCTTTTAGTTTTACAGTTTTCGTGGGTTTTCACTCGTTTCCAACCATCAAACTGACGTTAGGTCATTTTCTCAAAAGAAGCTGATTCTTTTTGGATTTTAAGCATGAGCTCCACCTTTGAATTCACTATGTGAGTACATTCTTAAACACGTGCGAATTTATCATTATGATAAATTCGCGGCATGACATTTTGAATTTATCATGATAAATTCGCGGCATCTAACCCCTAACACTAACCCCAACGCTAACCCCTAACCACTAACCCCTAACCACTAACCCCTAATCCTAACCCTAACTAACTTTTTAAACTATTTTGAAAATATAACTTTTTAAACATTTTTTTTTCTTTTTAAAACTTTTTTAAAACTTTTTTTTTGAAAATCTTGAAAGTCTCCCCACCCCCTTTACTCATAGTAAATTCAAAGGAGGAACTCATGTTGCAGGGATTTTCTGGATTAATGTGGTTAGGGTTAGGGATGGTGTTAGGGTTAGAGTAGGGGTACGGTTTGGGTTAGTTACATGGCCATTTAACATCTCTTCCATTTTCCGACAATGATGTCATGTCAGTTTGGTGGTTGGAAATGAGTACTGCAGGCCGTTTTAGTGTTGTTCATGGGAAGAAGTTATTTCGCTGACCTCCGGAACACTGATATACAGTGTCTCAGAATGACATTTCGTCAAAAACTTTTTTCTTCAAGATATATTGGTTTAGAAACAAACTTGGAGTAGGGTTAGGTTAGGATTATGGTTAGTGTTAGTAAAATCGTTGCTTTGTTACGTTTTGTCAATCTGAGGCCAGCGAAATAACCTCATCCTTGTTCATGAGCCGATGTTTTTTTATCAATGGCGCTTTGCCTTTATATTTGCATATCCAGTCACGTTCCAGTGAACATGAGCAGAAATGCAGAACGCATGTTTGATGTTTTATTGCTTTTTCGTTGTTTTGAAAACAGAAAACTTACTGTTTTCCATGCCGTATCCAATCACTCATTGTTTTAAATTACATATTCATATAACATATTTGTGAAACTATTAAGAAATGTTATATATATGAAATTAATCTATTTGTCAGTACGCCGTCAAATTTCCAACAAATACATATTGTATAACATAAACATATGCCATATCAGGGCTGGACTTCTCATTTCCTTAACATAGTCTGAATTAAAATACTTGATAATGATATGATGCAATGCGAAGTAAATGTGGTTGTCTGCAATGATTAACATGATATGCAAATACCGGCGAGAGATGATATTCTTAGAGCGATTAGTTTTCATAACCTGTTATTATCATCAGAAAATCAGTGGTCGTATCGTGGCAACTTCTTATCTTAATGCATGTATATCAGTTTACAGCTGTAATTTTGCGTTTTGACTGAGCTATGCATTTTATTTGTCTAATAATAAACTTATAGAGTCTGAATATACTGGCAAAAAGCAATGCGCACAATTGAAGGTACGAAAATAAAAGTTAACGGTTATATCAGTTAGATATACCTGTTACATATTTATTATTAACAAGTTGTTTACGTAATTACGCACAAATAATATTTCGTATGGCTGCAGGCATTCGAAACATGTCCGAGTGAGGCAGAGGGAGAAGAGACTCTTTATGTGTTATAAATTATCGGTGCAAGATATTGTACTTGTAGTGTACAAAAAACGTCTGAACGTGGAACAAGGGGAATCAACTAGTCATTATTAAAGTATCTATATATCTGTGGGCAATGAATCAACAGCCACATCCTTCCAATCCGCATACGGCCTATTATTATCCAGCAGCTCCTCCGGTGTATGTTCGAGAAGGGTTCTATGTGGAACAACCTTACCCACCTGGAGGATTTTCCAACCGACCTGTTGTCTATATTTACAGCGACGAATATCAGCGGAGACAGGAAGCTGAAACTGGGCTATTGGCTCTGATGTGTGCCACGTTATTTTGTTGCTGTCTTCTACCGCCGATTCCACATTGTTATTGATATTAAGTAAAGAAATGAAAACTATCATATACCGGTAGACATGACAATGGACGTAAAGTAGTGGAACTCGATAACAATTTGTCTTAACAACTTAGCAATTTCGTTACATGCAATTTACCCGTCCAATTTATTACTTTCGAAAGATGATTGTCAAGGGCTTTTGAACTTCTTCTGAATCATCAGAGAAAACCATCTTTATCGCTTTTACATTTCACATTTATGTCTCAATGAGACTCCATGTACTCATGCTGAGATTTTTACTGTTTCACTCCGAAACGCCAATGCCTGTTTAGAGACTATCATTGACGAGTTTAATTTACAAAGATATTTACGACTGAATACTCAGTACAAACTTTATCTGCGAACTGTTTTTATGTTGCTCTATATGCGCTATAATTAGCTTTACTCACGCGCGGTTGATATAGCCTACCTCATGCTATTTTGGGGGTACATTGCCTCTCCCAAGTCTGAGGTTGCATGTGCATGTGTAATGGTTAATTTACAGTTACAACTTTAAAAAAATCACATTTCACATTGTTTTAGTTGTCGATCCATATTCTTTGACAAGGGAAGACAGTACACCCCAAATCGCGGATATTCATGGTCCGCTTGTATTTCTAGTTGGGTTGTTCTCTTATAGGAAACATTCTTAGCGAGGTCGATTTATAGATGATATACGTTAGTGATTTGCGATTACGACACTGCTGCCATGCAGGCAATCGCCCACATAAGTTATGGTTATACTGTAGAACTATACTTCACCTGTCTAATGGCCATTTAATGTGAGACGGTTGTGAGACTGTCAGCGTTAGCATATTATGCAATGTTAGGCAAAGTTCAGTTTTTTAAATTATTGTTTTTAAAAATGCACGTAAGCCGGGGCCTGATACTTTTCGTAAGGGTGCATGGACACACTTGAAAGGTTGCCAGAATTTTTGTGGAATATTGTAATGAAATGACCTGAATTTAACATGTTTGGTGACATATTTGCCCGCATTTTTCTCATTTTTTTACAATCCTGGACAAAAAAGTGGCAAAAAACAGTTTATTACTTCAAAATATAATTTTAAGACATGTTTGCCCCAATGATGCCCCCTTTCCCGAATATCAATGTTTTGCCAAGTTATCTGGCCTCGAATATACACCCATCAACATTGATATTAGGGGAAGGGGGGGTGAAATTCGATGTATTTTCTTATTTTTTACCCTTTTGCCAATAATTTATGTCCAGGATTGTAGAGACACATGTATGATCCCTCACCATAAATCTGATCGCGCGTAAATAATGCAGATGGAGACTGAGTAGTATCAATAGTGATAATTTTGAATGTATTTTACTCAACTGAAATGTATTACCACTGATGTTTGGGCTACCTAGGGTTTTGAATGATCAAGAGCTTGAAATTAGGTTTTCGGTAGACAACTATTAAATAGCTGTACACGAAACAATTTTACTGCCAACGCAATTTCTGGCAAAGGACTAGGTTATGCAAAAGTTGGTTGGCAGACTTTGTATGGCCCAAGTTTTATATTCCGACGACCCAAGGGACGGATTTGCAGTTTGCACGAGTATTCGCGGCCGTCTTCTTGTGCAATATTTTAACACACGAAGTGTAGCAATACGGTACAAAGGAAACTCCGAAAATTTTCATCTCAGTGTATATTATATAATTCTATACGTTTCGACTATTCTATATAGTCATCCTTAGACCCGCCGAGACGGGAGGGGGCACTTTTCCCCAGGCCTCCAGCTCAAAAGGGGTCCCCAAGACAACGAAGACCCTTAACAATTTCTTGACTACAAGATTAACTATAAAGAATAAAATCCTAGCTGCGTTAGTGCCTGATAATAGGTAATAAAGTGTAATATATTGTAAAACACCGCTTCTTCCGTTTTACAATTATGACGCCATATAGGCATAGACGCCACTGGGAAAGTTTTACCCCAAGCTCCACGCAACCTCTCAGCGGTCATGGTCATCTTTAGGAAAAAGCCGAAACAGAAAATTTAACAGTTATATTAGGCAGGTGTGATATAGGTGATCTCAGTTATTATCAATGCTATTGTAAAGGATATAATAAAACAATTATTGAACTCGCTCATCAAAATATATAGATTTGTCAGTGGCTCGTGGATAAATTATTTGCCTCTGCATGTCTTCGACTTCGCTGTTTTGATTGGCTGATGTCCGAGTAATTCTGACGTCACAAATGCAGACAATAGTGCTCTTCATGTAGATATGTCGTCATTTCCACATAGAATAACATTATATTCAGAGATCTAGCCTGCGTAGCAGTCGCTTTATTTTTTAATTTTATTTCAGGATATAGTTAATCTTATTTGAGGATATTTTAAGAAATGAATGCGAAAAAAAAGCGGAGAAAAAAGGGCTACCATCTGTTATGAATTTGCTATTCTATCTTTTCACAATTATTAATTCAAGGGGCTTTCTTTGCGACTTTTAGGGTATTATATCCCCAAGCCATATTTCAGAGATTATTTGCAATTCGGATGGACATCCATGAAATGACGTGTTGTAACAACAATACGATCCATAGTTATCAATATTCCCACCTGCATCTGTATCTGTGCATTCATTGGCATTGCATTCAGTATTTTCTTTTTTATCAAGATTGTCATTACTAGTTGTGTTAGTTGTGTTGGTGTGTTTATGGACATAATGCGACTTGCAAGATGTGCAATTTTCTTCCGGTACATCAATGGTAACATACGTAGTATTCCAGCACTTTTCTTTTTTAACGCGTCTAGTGATGCGCCATGTAGTAGAATTTTGTCGTATGGATTTCATTCTGAAAGATGACAGGCGATATGGAACTGCCCGTGGCTTATCCTCATTCACGGAATACTTGTTTTTATTAAATGATGTTTCGAGAGTATTTTTACTGTGGTATCTTTGAATGCAAGTCCAGACAGCGTGCTTCTTAAAACGACAAACGACTGGGAAGGTGTTATCTTCATTATCGATGACGTAATAGATCCCGTTGTTGCTTTTCTTTGTTTTGAGGTAGCCGCGACAAGATCTGATTGGTTGATCACAGTGGAGACCTTGGTAACCTGGTCGACATTTGCATACAAAGCGAATGTTACTCACGGATGTTGCAGGATAAAGTGGGACACATGAAGCACCATTTCTACAAGGTTGAGATGTCAGGCAACAGTTGGTGTCTTTACGACAACTTTTTTGAACACTCATACCCGTCTAGGAATAGAAAATAGCTACTTGTAGCACTATTTAATTTTGGTAGACTGGTAATAAACGTAAATTGCTCAGTGACTCATGACTACAATATATACAGTATGTCGTCTATGTATAAACTTTAATTTTGGATAGTTGCAGGTCTGTAGACAAATTTTTTCCCGTAGTTCAACTTTACTCATAATCGCGTATATAATATACTATACTCATAATCGCGTATAAAACTCTCGGAATAATATACAGGGTACTTTTAACAGAAGTTTCGAATTCAGGTTTTGATACTGGATGGAATAACTATAACATTCATGTTACTCCACTTGATATTTGACATGGTATGACAATGAACTCGGTTTAATATATGAATATCTGCAAAATTATCACTGAGATCTCGCTCCTTCGCCTGATAATGCACTTACCTTGACGGTGATAATTCGGGATATCACAAAAATCTCATCCAATAATTGTTTAATTTATACATGCAGGATGATATGGCCCCACGCAAAAGCACGCAGCAGCGGACGCAAGCCACAGCGGCACCAAAGGCCATATATGACCTGGCACAAGAGCAGCCGCCGGCTGCTGCATGTAAAACAATATAGCTTAATTTTTAAGTGAAGATGGCATAAGGGCAAAAATACTACGATTCAAACTCTTGTCGTTTTCATAAAGATTTGCATGACCGTTGTATGTTTGATCCATATACATTATTTGCATGTCCGTTGTATATTGATGTTTGCGACCATGCCATTGATATATACTTGATATAAAAAGTCCTGGAAATACCAATACAAAGGGAAAGGCAGTCCAAAAATGTGAAAGAAGGAATGCAATAATAATCGTCAAAGACACAGTAGAAAATGTAGGACAGTTTTATTATATACACCAATTCTTCCAACACAAAGTAATATAAACGTTATCTACAAACCTGTATAAAGGTTGTTCTCTCTCAAAAACAAAGCTAGTGCATCCATTTTTTTGTTGAATAGATCCTTCGTTTTGTTTGCTATTTGTGGACCGTAGCTGGCACAAATTATCATCTATACAAATCTGAAATGACAAACATTTACAGTCCTCCAAGCATTTTGCCAAACATTCTTCCATTTTGAATATGCCTGTAAAATTCCGGAAACTGTATCCATACAGTATCCTGTCTCGGGTACCAATCACTTTATATGATACTGGATTTTTATGCATGTCGAGAAGTTCGAGAAGGAACAGATAAACGCTGAAAGTAAATGGTCAGAACTTAACAAAAACCATGCATGACCGTAATACTCCAGGTCGACTTTAATCTTTACTTGGGTCAGTCGATCGAGGCGGTTTTAAGGGCTTCCATATAAACGCAAGATGATTTTAATATTTGAAATAATAACAAAGGCTGGTTCTCGCTAAAACCGGGACAACTGTGGGTAGGGCTAGCTCGCCCCGTATAATATATATATAAATTATATATATATATATATATATATATATATATATATATATATATATATATATATATATATATATATATATATATATATATATATATATATATATATATATATATAGGTGAATGTCAATAAGTATATTGAGTGTCGAATCATACGAATAGAGTGCTTGATACGTAAGTAGAGCAAATGAAAGACAAACTTGAGTTACTCAAGTTTGTCTTTTATATATATATATATATATATATATATATATATATATATATATATATATATATATATATATATATATATATATATATATATATATATATATATAGCCCCTTTATTTACACAATGCATGTTAATATTCAACTCGGATAAATTTGCCATATACTGTATCAAAACTCGAGGCAACCTCGTTCCCAGGCTCTTTGCTCTTGGGAAGCAAAGACCCTGCTCTTGGGAAGCAAAGACCCTATCTGAAAATTGATAGCCCAAGAGGGGGTGGAAAAGTCTCATATTACATGTTTCCACTTCCGCACTTCGATTGCAAGGAGTGGCCGTTCTGTACAATCCAGTGCTCTCACTTTTAAGGAATTATCCTTAAAAATAGGAATTTTGAAGAGTTTTAAGGATTTTTTTAAGGAATTTAGGTTTTTGAGGATTTTTTTAAGGAATTTCCGAAACATTTTATCTTGAACTAGAAATGTTGGACGGAGGATAACACGCCACGCAAATGAGATTTAAACTTGAAAGTAGCAACATTATACGCACATAATTACATATATTTGTATGTTCTCTATGTCATAAATGACATATGGCTGTCTTTCCATTAAAATTCTCAAAAGTTAAATGTCAGTATATGCTGTTTCTTCTGAAATCTACATATTTTCTAAACTCTTCATGCAGCAACGATCAAAAATACATCATGTTGAATGTTTTCTTTATCGCATTTAAATTATTTAATATGCTAACAATCAAATGTTTTCAGATTTTAGTGCTTAGAAACAAGGTTGAAAAACTGAAAAAAAGAGGAAAAAAACACTTTTTGCAACTATGTGATCAGGCCTTGTAGTAATTTTACCAATTTAAGGAATTTTAAGGAAATCTGAGGAATTTTCGAGCTTTTTCTCAGGAATTCGAAAATTTGATTGTGAGAGCACTGGTACAATCATTAATTCATCTTCAAGAATCAGATATACCTCAAACTACTTGCTAAATTGATTTCTGTTTGCTTTTAAATTATACAAACATGCTAAAATGCAGATTCTTATAGCAACAGAAAAGTCAGGAAATCAAGCAACGAGAACATATGACTGTACGCTTTGAAATATTTTTATTTTCTGGGGGTTCGCCGGTTCGGGCGTAGTTTTATTTCACGCATACGTTTATGTTGTGGCTCTGATATTTATAATATGCTTATAACATGCCAATGAATTGTTCTGATATGGACATGGTATAAATTTTGTTAAACAGATGTCTCGAAAGCGACTGTTTATAGGTCGTAGGATTAGCGCCTTGCCGGTCTTAAACGTGACACATTTGGACACAAGCCAAATACACATTGTGAATGTCCATTCTATTGATTCTAAAACTGTTTATAGACATATTGCTCTAGATTTTTTTTTAAAATGGCTATCATCGTTTATATTAAACACCAGGAAGACAAAATATAACGTACAAAATTGTTTGAAATCGACAGTGCACAGCTGACATACGACAATTCATAACTGCAAGAATTTCCTTTTTTGTCTGCACGAGTACCTGTTTGTTGACTGCCAAAATATTGCACAGCATCTCCTATAAATTCTATCGCCATTTACCCTCTCCCCTTAAATGCAAAGGAATGACAGCCGAAAAGGTTTAGCAAAGTATTTTTTATTATATCTGGTATAAAGTGTCCTACGTTTTATCAGGGACATACATAATTCATAAACTGTATATGCACACGAAGTCTCGCTTATATTAATGAGTTTTACTGTAGCAAACCTTTTAAAGTTTCCATTGATAGATAGGTTGTTTGCCTCCAGTATTGTTTGGTAAAACAGACTATTAAAACTTCTAATTAAAATGTCGATTCCAGTATACGATAAAGATTAAAGTTGATTTAAATATTGATAACTCACAGCGGCATTAATCCATTATACAAGTCTAAAGAAGCTGGATTATTCTTCAATAAAGCCCTCAATGGACAATGCCAATGTCAATGAAAGGTCTAATATTATACATGTTGCAAACTACTGTATATACAAAACTGTCAAAATATGAAATAATTTATATAAAGTACAATACCAGTGTCTGGTGCATATATCGTCCTAGATATTCAAGTTGTACCGCACGCACGGAAACGCATGTACGGAGTCTTGGCGTTTGTGTGATAACAGATAGCTAGCTACACTTGGACATTATCTTTCTTGATCGTTGAGTTTCAGCAATGTAAATGAAATGAATTTTATAGCCAGTCCATAACGGGTTTTAATCCTGTGCTTTTACAGTCAGAATAGCACTATTGTTTACACATGTTGGCGATGTTTGGGAAATCAAAGACAAAGGATCCCGTTATAAAATAAATCTTTTGTTTTGAATATCGGACAGGATACACTTCAACTATAAAGAACCATATCGTTCGTTTAATACCATTTGATCGACAGTCTGTGTAGAAGATATGTACAGCCGGTACGACCATATCCACATGACTATATAGTCGGTAAAGTATGCGAGTAAATGGCGACTGTCAGTCGCGCATCATGTACACTTCCAATCCAAACGCTAATCCTAACCCAAACCCTAATCCTAACCCTAATCCTAACCCCTAACCCTAACCCCACCTCCTAGCCCCTGACCACTAACCCCACCTGCTAACCCCGCAACCTAACCGCAAACCCTAACCCCGGCCAGCTACCCCTCCGGGGAACTTTATGATCCAGCTTCTCGCTTGAAATGTAACGCAACACTTATTATTGATGACATTCAGTATAGCAGGAAGTCTTTTCATGATCGGTACGAATTTAGAACAGTTCCTTTCACAATCTCTTGTTGCAAATTACATTTTTATCACCCGAAATTATAACACATAAAGTTGCAATTTTCCAAACGCAACAAACAGACTACTCTCCTACCCCTCCCTGAGATCAAATTCAATTTACCCCCAAAATCTGGGGGTTCACGTGACCAGCTCCGACCAGGGTCTTTGCTTCCCAAGAGCAAATAGCCTGGGAACGAGGTTGAACTCGAGGTTGCAATTACACATTTATATATTATTCAAAATGTTTTGTACAGTTAGCAACATATGTACACTTAATAGCAATATATATAAATGAAGGGAAAATCACCCCTAGAAAGTGTACAAGACTTTTGGATTTTCGAAAGTATACGGTCATTGATAGTTGGATAACTTGGATTTTTGGGGATTTCGATGGACTTTTTCCGACTTTTTAAATTGTAGGAAGAAACCAATATTTTTTATCATGTCCAATGTTCTGGTAAATTTTCCCGAATAGATAATAAAAAATATTCGTCCAAATTGTCTAGATCTTTTTAAAATCGTGTTTTATTTTGCAAAATTGTATATGTTAATTTGCGTGCATGATATTTGTAAAAAGACTTTCTCAAAATAATTAACTTATCTTATTTCAATCTTTAATTTTATTATTTTACTAATCTTACTGATATTAAATTAACACTAGCATGATACATAGGGACAATTTGTAACATATATTTTTATATAGTAATTTGTTAATTATCTTCGGAGATACTAGCATATTTTTGCTAACTTAAATCCGAATTCAAATAAAGTTTTTATCTATCTATGAGGAATATATCGCGGAAAAACAGAAATTCAAAAATTTCCACACCGAGGTACCTATATATATATATATAGCTAGCCGGCTTGCTCCAAGGAACAAAAAGATTACTGGATATCTGAGGGAGCTACATGTATATCCATGCACTTGTACCGCTCGATCGAGCGAAAACTACATCTAGGTGAAAAATAATATTGAAGCCAGCTGTTTACGAAATTTAATTCACGTACCCTACGCGGCATATACTGCATGTGGATAAAACTTTAACTACACTGAAAATATATGCCAAATATGGATGTTTTCAGATTGAAGAAATGTCGAACAAAGGAAATTGCATGCATTGCAATTGATGTTATTTCATGTGCATTAAACTCGTAAGCAGCCGATCTGCTATATAGCTGCTGACATGCTGTTTCTATATGTTTGAATTGTTCTCCTGCATGTGAGGGTGTTTAATAGACGGAGAATTAACACAATGAGGGACTAGAACGTATAGGGCTATCCTCTCATTGTAACAAGAGTATTGAATGCATCATTTGAAACATTTTAATATTACCCTGGCAGAAAACAAACAAGACTGTTAAAACTTTGGCTATTCCTGACGAGTAACTCAGTGATATACTCTGCCTGGTGTGACCGCACTGTAACGCGCAAAGCAAGAAAACAAAGTCAAAGTAGAAGATCACACCTGTTTTAAGAATTATTAAGCTGCGAATTGTTGTTAACGTTATATATCTCATGCGTGCATAATAACGAGGTTTCTTACCTAACGATCCTGTTCATTTTCTTTAATAATAATCACAATATAATTCAACGGATTTCAATTTGTAACTGCTCTGTCTGATAGGAGGGTCTAGATGGGGTTTAATGTTAAGTGTTGACGGCCCATATTCTATAGTGTTTAATGTTGAAACGCTAAATATTTTGTTGTTTACTGTCATGGAAGACTTCGCAGTTAAGTGTTGTAATTACTATAAAAAGTCTAATGCATTTCAAAAAGGGCTTTAAACTATTAAATTTCAGACAAAAGAATACGAAACTATATTAAAAGCGATGTCAGAGTGTGTTTACAGGTCTTACAGATCTTTATAGCTTTTACATCACTTGTCACCTTGCCCAGCACCTGCATCTTTGCCTTCATGCAGACCAGCACATGCGCATATGGGCCTGGTGTGCCAATTACAAAATATGCAAAATATGTCTTTGATGGTCTTAGAGACTGTGCATTTGCTTCCTACATATAATTAAGTGCTTTTTTACGTCTTCATGAAATTAGCAAAATTTTACTATTATGTGAAATTTTTTACTGTTACTGTTAAATTACTAAAAAATCAAATGTTTAGTGTTTTGGGCACCACCCCATCTAGACCCTCTGATAGTGTTGCTTGCAGTTTGTCCGACCTTGGCGTTAATATTTAATTTAATTAGATGCGTGCCTTATCGCCGACTATCCTGAAAATACATTTTATATTATTATTAAGTACTTTCAGAAGTTTGATATTTGTTTATGGTAATATTCTTTGCCATTTTGGGTATAGAATGTAAACAAGTTCGTCAGTTTAATAAGCAGCAGGCTTATATAATAATGAGCATGCAGTTATTAACTACCAGCAGTTTTTTGCATTAAATGATTTTAATACGCATTGCCATTGTACAGGGTATCTAAAAAAATTATCCTTTAGAAATCACCCTTTTGTCGTAAACACCCAAACTCCATTACCACTGGGTTAGAATGCATTGTAATCGTACCAGCATGCATGTTAAAACTACAATAATGAGAAAATGTCCGCGGAGCACCTGTATATATATTATATATGTATTCGAGAGCCGGAGATCTCAACATGCAAGTGCAAATATTTAAGAGGCTGATCATGCACGTATGTCCCATACCCTGCATGGATAGCCTATATATAGATAAGAAAACTTATCAATCTGGAACTTTTAGATGTTACTAGTCTAGATCCTGTACTCTGTATAGAGTATATAATTTATGTTTCATTCTTATATTGATATATAGAATTGACACAATGAGCGAATAAACCGTGTTGGGCGCTATATATATATATATATATATATAATTTTTTCTGTTTAACACAATACGTGCATTACAACTTACAGTCTTGTAGTGTATGATGTATAGTAACTCAGTGATATCTGCCTGGTGTGAGGCAAAGCAAGAAAACAAAGTAGAAGATCACACCTGTTTTAAGAATTATTAATTAAGCTGCGAATTGTTGTTAAAGTGCATATGTCACAATTACCATTTTTTCCTCAAAAATCGGCCGTGGCAAGAAAATTCGAATGATATATGTCTTATCTGCAACGGATAAATACTTCCAGAGATATTTTAGCTCAAACATGCCAAAAAATAGAGGTTTTTAAAACGTGGCCGGGAGAAAAGAGTCTGAGTACGAATCGCCGCTGTGACGTCAAAGAAGTAACCAAAATATTTCATGACATGTGTTTATAGCAGTCTTGTTTTACTATGTAAAACAACATGCCTTCTCGCTGCGTCGTATACGGCTGTTCCAACCTCCCAGACCCCGAGAAAGGTATTAGTCTTCATAAGATACCGTTCTATAACGATTCAAGACCGGAGGCTATAAAAAGACGAAAGGTCTGGGTAGATTTTGTGAAGAGCAAACGTGCGAAGTGGGAGCCAGGCAGTGGAAGCCATGTATGCTCTAAGCATTTTAAAGCGGACGCTTTTGACAAAATATTGAATTTGCCCGGACAAGCGAATACGTTTCGACAAAAGCTAAGAAAGGATGACCTAGGAATTGTATCGTTTCCATCTATATTTCGTACGGATGCGACGGAAAAACAAGTTTCAGGCAGAGCAGCCAGAGCAATCAAACGCAAGGTGAGTAAATAATAGACCCATTTATCAATGAACTCTTTGTTTATATTTTTACTTCACGCCCTTCAATAACTTATTCTCTTATAATATTTTCAGTATGCATCTGGGAATGAACCAATCAGCCCTCAAGAACCAGGATGTTCATCGGATTATGTTGAACCTGAAGCAGAAATGGACTTAGCTATAGAAATACCGAATATCAATATCGAGCGTCATGTAAGTAGCAAATTAGCATTATTTCGCGTCGTGGTCACTTCAATATGTATATTCACGTTGAAGACTACAATATTTGACTATTTATAATAAAAGTGCACTGTTTTAAACTAAGGTGTTACAAAATATTTTATCTGTATATTTCTAATTTTTTAAAACTATATTAGGATATAGAGCAGCCGGATCGAGAGAAATTCACACAAACAGACATTCCAATGGCTGGTACGGATTGCAATTACTGTCTGGAATTACAAGAGAGGAACCGAATTCTTCGCAATCAAGTCATAGACTTAAAACAAAGACTAGCTAAAGAGAAGTCCATTGTGAAAGATTTACAATCCAGTAAGTAGTGTTATTTTGTGTATACTGTGAAAATTTATACCATATTTTATATGACCGACCTCAGTTGTAAAATTATTTCAGAGCTGTTGAGCAAGTATTTGCAATACGAATACACATTTAATAGGAAGTATATTATCGCACTATTTCTGTAATAGCTAGTTGTTGAACTATTACAAACAAGGACAGAGATTAGTTAGCTTATTATCAAATTGAAAACATAAGCCTCAGTTGCCCAATATAAGCATATTTTTATGGGTATCATATGATTTCATGATTTTATATATAATTTTATCTTGTATTTTTCAATCAGACCTTCAAATTCCTGTGGAAACTGTGCCATCTAGTGACACCGAAGCAGCCATATCATCCGAAGATATTAGCAGTATGGCTAGTGAACAAAGTGAAGAAGGTGGTGTGTCAACTGATCCAAACACTGAATCAGATGATGCAATTCAATGGGATGATTTAACAGAGACAGAGGACTCAGATGAAAGTGATAATGATGAACAAAGGAGGTAAAATTAGTCAAGTATTTAAGATGCCAACCACATGTGGATACTGTAAATATTTAGTATCATTAATGATTGGTTAATCAACACAAGTGTATTTATAAATTTCAGAGAATATACAAAGGATAACAACCTGAGGACAGAACCAAAGTACATCGTGTTTCTGTCGCAGCTGATGCTCCTTTTTCAGTTTTGTCCATCCTGCAAAAGTGCCAATCCTCTAGTTGAGACTAGCCAACATGGGACAAAGCTTATTGTGTATACTCACTGTGGTAATCCCAACTGTAAGCAAAGTGATTCTGTGTGGCGCAGTCAACCTAACATGGAGGGTACCAAAATTGCAGCAGGGAACTTTCTGTTAAGTTTTGCGACTTTAGTGGCTGGTGCATCAATCAGTAAAGTTCAACGTGTCCTTAGGCATATGGGAGTGGCATGCATTTCACTAAGCACTTTCTTCAGGCTTCAGAAGGTGAGTTGGTCCTACAAACAGGACTAGACCTTTTAACACATTAAGTCGAATTGCGCCCTCATACAAAAAGATCTGTTATTCTGAACATTGGTCTTAGTAGTGCAACAAGTGAACCTTAATGAGAATGAGTTTTTTCTGTGAGTGACAACTGATGATTACATGACAACTAATGGCCAATGTTGCTTTTAGTGTGCCATATTGGCTAATTATTCTGTTATATCCGGGCTTAAAAGTTAAAATCTGAATTTTCAATCAGTATCCCAGTATCCACTTGAAATATGGTATCCACCCAGGAAATCTAGTATCCCACATTTGGATATTAGATAATTCTAGTATTGTGAGCAGATGAAATAGCAAAAACACAGCAATTTGATAATATAATTACTGTAAAATGTAATAGGTCGAGATTAGCGGATATTGGGATACTGCAAATTTAAGCCAATTGATTATATGTTCTCATCATTTGTCAAACAGATCAGTTCCCTTGAATGGTGATTCATACAACATATTGTTTTTCATAAACTGTTTTAGAATAAGCTGTTTCCAGCCATTTCACTGCACTGGAAAAACTACCAAAGCCAGCTTGTCGACAAACTTAAAGAAAACAAAGAACCACTGGTTATGGCAGGAGATGGAAGGCACGATAGCATGGGGCATAGTGCAAAGTATTGTGCTTACACAATATTCTGCTGCACATCTCCATGTATATTACACTTCAATTTAGTGCAGGTCCGAAAATAAATATTTCTTGTTTCCATTTGGGTTTTTTTCATAACATAATTTCAATGTTTTGTGTCTACATTAGAGGAATGAAGCAGGAAGTAGTCAGGCAATGGAGTATATGGCATTCCAGCATTGTATGGAATACATCAATAATTGTGGAATAACATATGACACTCTTGTCACTGACCGCCATACTTCCATAGCGAAACATATGAGAGAAAAGCTTAAAGAAGTGAAGCACTACTTTGACCTTTGGCACTTGAGAAAAAGTATGTTGCAAAATAGGTTAATTATCTTTTTACTCGCCCCATGTACAGTAATCCAGAATCTTTAATAGCTTTGCAAACCAGAATCCAAACATCGGAGGAATCATTATCCTCGGCCAATTTCCTGGAATCCAGAATCCACACCATTCTGGAATCCAAAATTCAAGTACTGGAATCCAGAATCCAAAGATCGGAATCCAGATTAGAATCCAATGAGTGCATGGATTACCTTACATGGGGTGATTCTACGTACTGTACCTTCTCAGTAGTTAATTGATACTTGTGATAAATTTAATGTCATTTATTAATTATAGAAATTCGAAAAGTGCTATCAAAAATTGCAAAAGAAAATGACTGTGAGGAGGTCCAATCTTGGATCCGCCCCTGTGAGAACCATCTATCCTGGAGTGCTACCTCAACTTCATCTGGTGATGGAAGAGTCATATTGGCTAAATTTGTGTCCTTTCTTGGCCATATTGTTGACAAACATGAAAACCTTGATGACCCTATTTTCGACAGGTGTGCACATGGTGACATTGAACACAGGGAATGGCTTAATGACAGTAAGTAATTGTTCTGATAATATTGATAATATCTGGCTTTGTGTAAACTATTTAAGTGCACATTTTGGTTGCACCACATTGCCTGTTTGCATTCTGTCATAAAAAAGGTATTTGTTAAGATACAGACTGCCACCACAGAGTGTTAACATTATAAAAACAAAAATATAATTTGTGTATATTTTAGAATCTGTTGTGTATGAGAAAGTGTGCAAGGCATTGAAAAACAAGAGGTTAAAGAAAGGAATCCAGAAAGCATCTCCCTTATCCCAAACAAGCTGTGTTGAGGGGTTTCACTCAGTGTTGAACCAGTTTGCACCAAAGATGATTGCTTATTCCTATCCTGGCATGTATATTAGGTAATTGTGCATATATATCATATTCACACATAGAAAGTTATTGCAGTTATGCAGGGGGGGGGGACTTTGCCCCAGGCTCCCAAGTGGTGAGAAAACCAAATAAATCTTTAGTTCACATTTTAACCCATTTAGCGCCAGCGCTCTCCCCTTGACAAGTAAAATCGTCTGGTGTTAGACAGAGTAAAATACTAAAGTAGGGTGCATTGCAATAAATATACACACTTGACTTTCTTAATAATAGGCACATTATTGCAGCAGTCCACTTCAACCATAACCTGAACAGGAAAGTGGTGACAAATCCAGATGGTTCAGAGCAGCTTGTAGTGGTTTACCCCAAATTCAAAAATGGTGAAGCTACTGTCAGGGATGTAAAAGTTGCTGCAAACTTTTGTAAGTATGTGGTTCTGGAGGTCATATTTTTAATTGATGAAAGGAGCGCATTTATACTCAAATTACAAAAGTTTTTTACAGCTGGGTAGAATTTTTTATGTACAGTAATCCAGATAATTTTATGAGCGAATAGCAGTAAATACTTTGAAATCAACAGTTTAGATATATATAATAAATTACATTCTCTGATCAGGCTATGTCGAAGAGATGTATCAAACCTTCCTGGATGCTCAAAGGAAAGGTGACCTTGATGAAGAGAAGGACAAATTGAAGAAGATGACTCCTGAGCCAATGAACACAATGCTGACCAAGCAACCACGAGATGAGGCGATAAAGAAAAGAAAGGATAGGAGAGCTATGGTTGTGGAAGATGTCCCTCCTACATCAACAGGTTTGAAAAATAAATATACAGTATATTGCACACATCTTGTTATATATAAACAAACTTTTATTATTATAACACATATGTAAATCATTTAATGTTTTCTTCACTTATTTAGTATCTCAAGTTGAGGCAACCACAGAAGCACCAGGTCAACGGGCAAAACCTCATTGCAGTTTGTGTCACCATCCCATGAAGGGCCACAAAAATGTAGTTGATTGCCCACGGAATCAACAAAACCCAAACTAATGTACAAATATATTTTTAAAAATACAATTGAAATATTGTTGTATGGTGACAGTTCATTATATAATATACTGTATGCTACAGGGTGGGGTGCAATATCAAGATAGCATGACCAGTTGCCATGGAACATTTATTGGTACTATAAAGGTATAAAGTAAGATATAGGCTATATAGCCATTTAGAGATTACCTATACCTTGTCTGGCCCAATATATCTACCAGAATAGAATGTTGATTTGAAGATAAAGAGCAGAGCCAAGCAAATCATTTTAAAGTTAAAAAAAATTATTAGCCAACATTTCGTTGTTTACAATGCAACATCTTCAGAGCAATCTAAATGAATTTACAGGGTATGGTATATATATTTACAAATAATGGGTATTCACAAATATTTTTGTAATATTAAACCATTATTTGTAAATAGTACATACATAACATACCCTGCACATTCAGTTAGATTGTTCTGAAGTTGTATTATAAATAATGAAACATTAGCTAATAATTGTGTTTGGTTTTAAAGTTATTTGCAGAGTGGCCTATGCTCTTTTCCAATTGCCACAGTTTTGAGAATAGAATGTGCTTTTAAAATACTTTATTAATAATGAACAGTCCTTAATTAATTTCATGAAACAATTTCTTATTGATCTGACACATCTTCATCAAATCCGGTTAATTCCTTGTCTCCCGGTGGGAATTGTGTTCGAATTGCATGGTATGCACAAGCAGGCAGGGGTATTCGCAGCCGACCCAACACACCATACACAAGCTGTGAAAATTCACGGTATGCTATTGAGCGAAAGAATCTAAAATGAAAGTAAAAATATTTGAATTCATGATTATATATTATAATGTAGCATTTGTAAATTCTGAACGCTGATTGGCTAAGCTGTGTTAACCCATTGAGCGCCTGCGCTCTCCCCTTGACGAGTAAAATTGTCTGGCATTAGACAGAGTAAAATACTAAAGGGTGCATCAGGGTCATCACCACTCAATGGGGTAACTAGACACATGGGCGGATAGGCCAGTTAACCCATTAAGCGCCAGCGCTCTCCCCTTGACAAGTGAAATTGTCTGGCATTAGACAGAGTAAAATACTAAAGTAGGGTGCATTGCCACTCCATGGGTTAATATAACTCAATATCAACACAGAAACGTCTGAAGATTTCTTTCTTTACATTTTTTTGTGGTATATTATAAAACATTTTTTCTGTATTGATATATAGTTATATCAACAAAAGTGGAACTCGTCTACAGGGGGTGAATTTTATAAAATGGATGGCCCACTGTAAAAAGCAGATTTATAGTGGAAAAAACTCACGTTTCTTCTGATCCTTGTTGGCGATATCTTTTTCCAATTTTTGTTTTGTATTTTGGTACAGCCATTTTTAAGGACCATTTCTCCAGGCAATTGATTCTAAACCCTGGATGATTAAGCACACAAGTAGGGGGTATTTCGACGTCTTGTAAGACATCATCGGAACTCAATGCCTTGGTGCATCGATCAATTTCTTGACAACATTGAGTTTCGTACTCGTTCTGCAACAGACTTGTGTCGCAGTTGTTACACTTGCACCTAAGTATTTTAAATAAAAAACATACAATTTACTCAAATCTGTATAGTCTATAAAAGTGCAAACACGACCCAATGTGACATGCCATAAAATATATTTTGTATTTACCATTGACTTGTCGGAATCGTTCCGTCTAAACGTTGTTGGAGTTCCTCAAAGTGAATTCTCGCGGTCTCTTTTTCTGATTCGTATCGCTCAACCCAATCGTCATCTGCTATAGGCTCTTCCTCGTAAGGAACAACCACTGCTCCAGCACTATTTTGATGATTATTGCAGTCAAACTGAGCCTGAGTTGATGATTCTTCTTGCGGCTCTTTCTCTGAAGGCGAGTCATATTCTTCCACTTCTAGCTCGTATTCCTCGCTTGTATCCAAATCGGACTCACACGATGTCGAACTATCGTCAGAGTAAGATTCGGAAGCAGACATTTTAAGAAACAACAGAGGTTATAACTTTTTGTAGGCCCTGCTCTCGCAATGTTGTAGAAAAACACATGTCATGAAATATTTTGGTTACTTCTTTGACGTCACAGCGGCGATTCGTACTCAGACTCTTTTCTCCCGGCCACGTTTTAAAAAACTCTATTTTTTGGCATGTTTGAGCTAAAATATCTCTGGAAGTATTTATCCGTTGCAGATAAGACATATATCATTCGAATTGTCTTGCCACGGCCGATTTTTGAGGAAAAAATGGTAATTGTGACATATGCACTTTAATACTTTTTATGCCTGTAAATATCAAAATAGTGCGAGGGCCGTATGTTAGATAACTTTTACGGTTAATACGTTTTCCCTCGTGAAATAAAGTTTCTATTCTATTCTAATGATAAAGTTTTCTTGTTTTTAAAAATGTCCTCCTACTACATAAGAGAATTATGTCACTTTTTTGATCTGCAGACTTTTGTCTTCAAAAGTATTAATGATTTTTCATTGAATGCGGTAGTAGCAGATATTTTTATGGACAGATTGCCCCCATCTCTTAAATAATCTTTTATCCAAAGGTACAAGAACATTATTAAAAACTTAATCATATTTGAGGACTCATATGCACATCATTTATAACGTACATTAAATGCAGTGGATGCAGTAAACAACTTGAATCATGCACTATATAACACTATGTAACACTATCAACACATTGTAGCACTATGTAGCACTGTGTAACAATATGTAACAATGTGTAATACTATGTAACACTGTGTAGTCTTCTGATAGCACATACCCCAGGATCCATTGTGAATTCAGTTCGAATTATATTCAAAATCATAATTTTAACAAGAATTAGCCAGCAAAACAAGCATGCTTGGTCGAATCGAAGCATGGATTCCCATGGAACAAAAGTCAAAACTGAAAATATGCGGGGGGGGGATCTGCATCACACATAGATCAGGGGGACCATAGCCGTTTCCCCGCCCGTGTTTTACAGCGCCATGATTAGTTCAGTTAAAAATTTGCATGAGAGAGCATTTGCAGAGTTGCAACTCTGATCAACTCTCATGTTCGTTTCAGTCGTTTGACCCGCGGGTTTGAGAAACAACGTCACATCCACTGAGTTGGAAAACGTACTACCTCTACTATCTCTACTACCGGTTCTACTTGAACTCCCTCCACTACCTGAACTACCAGGACTACCTCTACTACCTGGACTACCAGGACTACCTCTACTACCTGGACTACTAGGACTACCAGGACTACCTCTACTACCAGGACTACCTCTACTACCTGGACACTAGGACTACCTGGACTACTAGGACTACCTGGACTACCAGAACTACCTCTACTACCTCTACTACCTGGACTACCTGGACTACCAGAACTACCAGGACTACCTCTACTACCTGGACTACATCTACTACCTGGACTACCAGGACTACCAGAACTACCTGGACTACCTCTACTACCTGGACTACTAGGACTACCTGGATTACCAGAACTACCAGGACTACCTCTACTACCTGGACTACTAGGACTACCTGGATTACCAGAATTACCAGGACTACCTCTACTACCTGGACTACCAGAACTACCTCTACTACTAGGACTACCTTTACTACCAGGACTACCTCTACTACCAAGACTACCTCTACTACCTGGACTACTAGGACTACCTGGACTACCAGAACTACAAGGACTACCTCTACTACCTGGACTACTAGGACTACCTGGATTACCAGAACTACCAGGACTACCTCTACTACCTGGACTACCAGAACTACCAGGACTACCTCTACTACCTGGACTACCAGGACTACCTGGATTACCAGAACTACCAGGACTACCTCTACTACCTGGACTACCAGGACTACCTGGATTACCAGAACTACCAGGACTACCTCTACTACCTGGACTACTAGGACTACCTGGATTACCAGAACTACCAGGACTACCTCTACTACCTGGACTACCAGAACTACCAGGACTACCTCTACTACCTGGACTACTAGGACTACCTGGATTACCAGAACTACCAGGACTACCTCTACTACCTGGACTACCTCTACTACCTGGACTACCAGGACTACCTCTACTACCTGGACTACTAGGACTACCTCTACTACCTGGACTACCAGGACTACCTCTACTACCTGGACTACTAGGACTACCTGGATTACCAGAACTACCTGGACTACTTCCACTACTGGACTACCTCCACTACCTGGACTACCTCCACTACCTGGACTACCTCCACTACCTGGACTACCTCCACTACCTGGACTACGGGCTCTATCATAACCATGCTAACATTCAGGTTATCTGGAGTATAAAATCATTAAAATCAAAGAGAAATTAGTTATCATTCCATTTGAGTTAGCGTCGTTATAAATTCTATGTAATCTATGTACACTTTAATTTAAATTTAGTATTTAGCGTTTCAGCCAATCACAAGCCTCGATCATATAGCTAGGTACTGACCCAGATTTTGCCTTTGATTTTTAAAATATGAATGTATAACAATTGTTTGAAAATTCATATTTTAAAACAACAGGCAGCAGATTTTAGGCTTGTTTTTATTTGATGGAAATTATAAACTTTGAAGTCACATGGATTTTGAATTATGCTTTAAAGAATGCAGTATATTCGAGTTAAACGATTTTATGATGCATAATTATTCTATAAAATTATATTCTCATATCTTTTAATATTTATCAGTTTATATATCCTAAATTCCAGCAGATTCGTGGCTGTCTGTTTATATAATTAGTTTTCTTCGTTTAATTACTCCTCCATCGCTTTTGGATATAAACCCTCCTTCATGCCTGATATATTTTTTGGTTATCTCCATCCTTCACTTAATAATTCACTAAAATCAAAATTTTCTGTTCCAGCTTGCTCAGTTATCTTTGGCATGTAAAATCATTAGGCAGTACCCTCAGTAAAATACTTATTTAACTGGCTGACCATTACAGTAGTCAACAGTTAATAAATGAATACATGCAAAAATTACAAATTAACTGCCCCCATATGCAGTATATTCGAGGTAAACGATTTTATGATGCATAATTATTCTATAAAATTATATTCTCATATCTTTTAATATTTATCAGTTTATATATCCTAAATTCCAGCAGATTCGTGGCTGTCTGTTTATATAATTAGTTTTCTTCGTTTAATTACTCCTCCATCGCTTTTGGATATAAACCCTCCTTCATGCCTGATATATTTTTTGGTTATCTCCATCCTTCACTTAATAATTCACTAAAATCAAAATTTTCTGTTCCAGCTTGCTCAGAAAATATTCAATCTTTCATAACTGGAGTTACCTTTGGCATGTAAAATCATTAGGCAGTACCCTCAGTAAAATACTTATTTAACTGGCTGACCATTACACTTACTTAGTCAAAAGTTAATAAATGAATACATGCAAAAATTACAAATTAACTGCCCTCATACCAATCCATTGGTCTCTGACTCATCCAATAAATACTTAACAGAATAGTACGATAATAATAGAAAAGTGTGAAAATGCCAACGTTACCTAACTTTGTGTGACAAGAAAGTTAGATTACATTAATTTTACAGTCAGGTATTCTTTTCTTTATCGCCTCAATAGTCTGGTTGATGATTCCAATGGCCCCCATAAAATTCCAATGGCCGGCCCATAAATTTCCAATGGCCCCCATAAATTTTACTGGAGAAAATGTTTCCCCCACTTCTTGCTATTAAATCTCCATAGCCCCCAATTTTACCCATCCAATTAGGGAGAGTCTTGTGTGGTCACACTATAGTAATGGGAATATGGGATAATCAAATATGGCATACTTTGTTATTTTTCTCTGTCCCACACCAGACAATTTTACTTGTCAAGTGTAAGGTTAAGTGAGTAATAAAAAGTGGCTGGATATTCTAACTTTTGCTCCATATAATTGGACTTTGGTTGTGAGCAAAATGTAAAAAGACAATTACCAGTAACACTGGCCTTACTACATCCCTATTATTTACCTTGCAACCTTGAGCAGTTGTGCTGTTACAGCAGAATGTGGTTTCAAATGACAGTTATTTTATGGCAATTATGATATTCCAGTGTGCCAGTAAGACATTTATCATTTGTTTCTCT